CAGGTGCCATGTTGCAACCCTCTGCCACGTGGCATGGCACCATGTTCAGAAGGGTCACATGGCAACAGGGCACTACCTTGTTTGGGGCCACGTGACAGGGGCCGCCATGTTCCCAGGACCCTCGCTGTCAACAGTCTCCCCCTTGTGGCTCCTCTTGTGAACTGCAACAGTCGCCCTGTTGCAGTGCACATGATGCTTCATTGTGCTGCCGACAGCAATCCTCTCGCTGCAAGGCACACAGTGAGACGCCATCTGCCTGTGTTTCCCAGGGTGACCAGCAGCAGCTCTGTAGCCGCTCTACAGATAGATGATTGCTCACACGTGCCTACTGGATGGATGGCTGCCCAATGGCCCTCTGCTCCGGAATCTTCTCCTCAGGCTCTGCTACCACTTTGGGAGCAAGCTGGCCCCAAGGGACTTGTTAACATCCATGTGCCTTTTTCCCTTTCTGATCTATCTCAGATTACCCATATATTAGGTAGCTTCTCTGATGACCCACAGAATTATATCAGGCAATTTGAAATTATTACTAATTGTTATGATTTATATTTTAAGGATGTTTATGTGATTCTAAATACTACTCTCAGCTCACAAGAACAAAATCAGCTGTAGCAAGCAGCTCGAAAAGAAGCTGATCACAGAGATAAGGTAAACACCGCTGATAATGACCCAGGGTCTATAGCTGTGCCAGAGCAGGACAAGCATACTAACTATAACAAACTTTTAAAATAGATCCAGGAGGCTAATAAAAACCCAGCTGTGTTCCTAAATTGGCTAGAAAATCCTCGTACCCTGCGAGCAGTTCCAGCTTCGCATGCTGCGTTGGGCTGCCTCCCAGCCCCTCCCCCATGCGCCATCCCAGCCCCTCCTTCCTTAGTGCGCCATCATCACCGCCGCCTTACATGTTTCTGGGGGCAGTCCCAGCCCACCCCTGCGCGTTATGTCCCAACGCTCGCCCCACCCCCACACTGGGCGTGCTCTGCTGGTGTGCCGCAAAACAGCAGCTCAGCGGCTCCGCTCAGGCATGCTTTTTATTTTACAATTCGGCTCCGCTCAAGAGATGCTATTTTTTTATCACAATTCTCAAACCATTTAATCAAGGTTACTGGCCACCTGGTAATTTTACCAGCCTTGTTTATCAGTCAAAGCCTTCACCAATCTCCTGTTTAACAACTAAGGTTATAAATATCTTTTTGCTGGAAACCACTAGCTCTATTTCACGACAAGGGTTTTCTTTAAAGTTTTATTTTATGTGTCTTAGTTCATACTACTACAAATAACAACTTTAAAAAGTAAATGTGTTAGAATTTGACAGTAAAGAAAATAGTGTGTAATCTACTAGCAGGTAATTTCTTACTGTTATGGTTTTTTGTTTCGTTTTGTTTTGTTTTGTTTTGTAGTTCTGTATTGCGTGTACCCTTACGCCGCTTTGGTTTGTTTTGTGTTTTTCTCTTTTTCCTCTTAAATAAAAAAAAAAAATAAATAAATAAATAAAAAGAATTTGACAGTATTAGATTAGTTTTGATAGATTTATTCATAAGATTGCTAAACCTTTACTGCAAAATGTTTCCATGAAAGCCTTTTTGGGTAGACTAAAGCTTTTTTTTTTGTTAATTCTACGTGTCACCCTATAAAAAAGCGATATGCCATCCAGATACAGCCTGCTCTCTGATCTCAAGTGCCAATATTAAACTCCTGTATACTTACTTACTTCTACAGATACCTTTTACTGTAGTCCAAATCCCAAACAAAAAGGCAAAACTTGACCTTCAAACCTTATAGAGATCTTAATATGGTTTTTCATATTTTTGACACTTGGAGTTCTGAGGCAGGTAAACCTACACAAGGTGGAGCTGCCTGGCCCCCCGTGGACCACGCTCAAATGCAGCAGAAGACAGTGGGCAAAAAAAAATGCCCCATCCTGGCGTTCTTTGAGACTTTACTCCAGGGCTGCTGGACTGTCCTAGCCACCAAAGAGTGGGTAAGCCATCCTAACTTCTAGCCCTCACAGCAAATGTCGACACTGCCAGATTCATTGCTGAAAAAATTGCTGCTGAAGACTGAGGGGGTTCAGGGCAACAACAGCCCCCTTTAAGGTGTCTGTCTCAGAGTCCAAGTCGACTAAAGTCTCAGGTAAGACAATTCTCTATATTTGTGGACATAGAGGCGATATATACAGAGTTTTCCTGAGTTTTCAGGCTGCTGTATTAAGTCCTCAATCTCTGTGACGGGGTATTGATGGTCAACCTATGCCATTTATAGACAGTGCCTATTTCGTGCAGGTCCCAGTCCTAAATCTTAAAGTGCTTTCACTCCCTTGTGTTTATGCAGGCTCACTTAGAAACACTGAGGCCTCAGCAGCTTCCACCTGTTATTGCTAGTAAACCTCTCCTCAGTGATATAAGACCACCCCCTTCCTTTCTTATTTACCAATTTCTCAAGTAATCCTAGTCAAGACTAACAGATACATTTTGCCTTCTCACTTTGTTTATACTTTTTCAGGATACATAAAAGCCTCTCCCACAACCAGGTAAACTGCTGATACAACCAGGTTACAGCGACCCATGCCTAAATCAAAGTTGCTAGACTGCCCTCCTGGTTTCACATCACTCAGGCAAAGAGGTGCCCTTCCAGTCCTAAATCTGATCATTCTGAGTGGTCATCTCATCTTCTGTCGCCCACTCATCTCCGTTTCACAAAGGCCTCGCAGCCACAGTTAACAGGCTAAGTCATGTTTTATTATCCACTTTGGTTCCTAATTTCTTACATTCTGTTAATGATCATTTTTACAGCAGGACTCTTGACAGTCTTTTCTAAAGACTCCCACATCATGCATAAGATAATCTTCATAATGTTCTATATGATAACAGTCGCAGTTCTTTCTACCCTCAGCTGTCTGGTTAAATGTGACATCCCTGAAAGCCTAAGCCCTTACCTTCCCTATACTGGTACAGCCACCGCCTTCCCTACTCCTATTTTTTCCACCTCAATTGCTAGACCAGAGACAAGTTTTATACATCTACCCTCTTAACTTTTATGCTTTCAGATGGGGAGTAATCACCTCTCATAACTCCATTCCTCCTAACCCCACATTTAATTTTCGGAATTCTGCCTTACTGTGGAAATGTTCCTACCTGAACATCGTCCTGATAGAATGACATGTCTAAATCAAAGGCACCTTCCCTTCTACCTTAAATATGACAGTGCCATGTCTCCTGATAACATCTTGTCTCTGTGTTTTTCTAGTCTAACATACGTGCATTCACCAGTGAAGTTGTCCTGGCCAACACACCTGGCACCAGTGTCTACCTGAGCATCAACCTTCATCCTGTCGACTCCCCTAGTCTCCAGTACAAAACCCTCTGCCAGCAGGAAATAGTTAAAAAAAAAAATCTTCGCCCCTTTTCATAATAATAATCATAAGACGGGATATGAAAGGGTTTTGTCCCAGACAGGACACTGTAACCAGAAAAGCCTCAACCGGAGGCAGGAAGCCCTTATCTCCCCTGCCCCTAGGAATTTACCTTTGATGCCATCTTCCCGCCCCTGGGAATTTACCTATGGCGCAAAACCTAGGACCAATGAGCTACCTGTACATCCCTAATGTCCGCCTTAGGTTCCACCCCAAACTGAGGCTATTTACATACCCCCACGCCACGTGTCTGCCAGAGAGATTGCTGGTTGCCAGAGGTGGGGGTGTGGGTCATCTCTCTCTGTGTTCTCAGAATAAAGGCAGCTTTTTATTTTATACTTCTCATCTTTTGGAAATAATCCTGGGGGGGGGGTTGTTTTTGTTTTTGTTTTTGTTTTCGGCTAAGCAGATATAGGAATTTTAAAAATTATACAAAGTTGTAGCTACAAAATTCCATGATATACAGCTTTAAGTGAGTGTTGTGTTAGAATCATGCACAAATCAGTTAAACCAGTGTGGGGGACTGATACCTCAACCTTAAGATAGGAAAAAAGGGGCCAAGAATGTAGCCCAGTGGCACAGTGCCTACCTGGCAAAAACAAGGTCCCCAGTTCAATTCCATACCAAAAAAAAGATAGGGAAAAAGAGGTGACCTAGAGGTAAAGTTTTAGTGTAGATAGCCATCTTTGCCTGGTCAGAGGCTCTCAGCGAGGAGACTAGATACTGGTTTGTCATTATACATGAGAAAATCTGAAATTGAGAATCCTTAAAAATTCAAAACTGTTATTACATGACACCTGAACTAGAAACTTACACACCTGATTTCATATGATGAGTCAGAGTAAAAATGTAGATCCACTAAAAGTACTTTTAAGTTACATGTGTTTAAGAGACACAAATTAATTTTGTTTTTAGGTTTAGGTCTCATCCCCAGGATACCTTATTATGTACATGTGAATATTCCAAAATTTAAAAAATGAAAGTGGAATACAAAGCATTCCTGGTTCCAAGCATTTCAGATAAAGAATACTCAACCTGTGGAACCCTCACCTGTGGAGCACCCCAGCAGTTGCCACCATGTACATATTCTGCCCTTGCCCTATCCAAGTTTTCTGAATTTCTCCTGTAGAAATAAACTGATTATCACTGATGGTGTTCTCCCTTCTCTGGTAAAAGGGGATAAAAATAATAACAACTCTTCTAAGAAGGTTGGGGGAAATTTTTATTTCTGATCCCTAGAATGGTTAGAGACTAAAATAGATCCAATTTTCTGATAAAATCAAAATTACATTGCAGCAATTTATTTCTTGATTAAGAAGGCGTTTGTAGGGTTTTGTGGCTTCAGGTTGACATGTTAAACCTCTTTTATTACCCAGACCTTGAAAAATGATTCTTCCAAACTCAAATTCTAGAGAAGTGAAAGTTTTTATTGACTATGCTTACTTAAATTTGAGGTTTTCTCCCATTCCCAATCCTGTGACTACTAGCAAATTTCCTGAAGTCATAAAAAGTCTTTTGAAGAATAATTAACATCTGTTAACTCAGGTATCTGTGAATCATCCTTTACTGCTGGATTTTCTTATTGTAGGGGGACCTCCTAATGAAGTCAAGCAAAGAACTTTTATGTGTGGGCTTCCCTGAAGATTTTCTAAGGAACAAAGGTATGTATTTCTCTAAATTATTTTTTTCTCAGTTATTACACAGTTACAATTAACAGTTTCTATTTTATATTCAGAATGTCAGCCTACTTCCTACTTTACAAGATGGCCTTAGCTGTAGAAATTTCTTAATAAACCCTTCCCTATTACTGTGTGTTGAACCTTTTTTGTTTTTGTTTTTGGTACTTAGGATTGAACTCAGGACCTTGCGCTTGCCAGGCAGACACTTTGCTGCTGAGCTGAAGCCTTTGCCCTTGATTTTTTTAAATAATCACATTATTTTTGCCTATTATGAAGGATAAACTAGAACAGGGAGAAATCTACCTAGTATTGTAGAGGGTGTAGTAATTCTTTGGGGCAGGTTTGAGGAAAAATGTCCACTCCAGGACCCCTTGAGAATTTTTTGTTTTGGCTTGTTTTTTTCTGAGACTCGATGTCAGCATAGTGAAGCTTGAACTCACTATGTAGTATGGGCTGGCCTCAAACTCACTGCAATTTTCCTACCTTAAGTTTCTAAATAGTGGATTTACAGGCTTGTGCCTCCACACCTGCTAAGAAGTTATTTTGTTGTTGTTTTTGTTTTTATTTTTTCCAGCAGTTTCAGGTTATGTACCTAGGGTGCCTTCATCCATTTTAAATGATTTTGTTGTTATTGGTGTTGAATTGTTTGTTTTTTTGTACTCCTTCCTTGGCCTCCTAAATGCTGGGATTACAGGTGTGTGCTACCACAACTAAGCCCTGAATTGATTTTTTGAGTCAGAGACAAGAATCTTGTTATAGTCTTCTACATATTGATACTCAATTTTCTCAGTACCATTTGTTAAAGAGGCTATCTTTTTTTTTTTTTTTTTTTAACTTTTTACCAGTACCAGGGATCGAACTCACGACCGCCTGCTTGCAAGGCAGGTGCTTATGCCGCTGAGCTAAATCCCCAGCCCCCTAAAGAGGCTATCTTTTCTTCAACATATGTTTCTAGTTCATTTATCAAGAATTGATGGCTAGGTATGGTAGTACATGCCTCTAATCCTAATACTTGGGAGACTGAGACAGAAGGATCACTAAATGTTTGAGATCAGCCTGGGCTGCATAGTGAATTCAAGGACAGCCTGAAGTACATAGCAAGACCTTGTCTCAAAACAAAAGATTTGATGATTGTAGTTGGGAACGTTTGTTTCTATTACATTAGTCTTTGTGTCTGTTTTTGTGTCATTATTATGCTGTTTTGTTCTGTTTTTTAAAATTTTTTGAGACAGCATATCTGAGTAGTCTAGGTTGGCCTTAAAACTCAACCCATAGCCCCGGCTAGCCTCAGACTTGCAACCCTCCTGCCTCAGCTCCTGAGTTCTGGTTTTCTATGCCAAGCTCATGCTGTATGTGTTATTACAACTTTGTAGTATAATATGAAATCAGGTACTGTGATGGTGTCCAGCTTTGTGGTTTTTGTTTAGGATCCCTTTGGCTATTCTGCATCTTTTGTATTTTGTGTTGTATTGTATTGTTTTGTTAACAGTAGCAAAGTTTTATAATCAAGGCTAGCGTGGGCTACATAGTGAGTTCAAAGCTAGCCTAAACTACATAGTGAGACTCTGTCTCAAAAAAAAAAAAAAAAAAAAAAAAGGTTTTATTAGAAATAGGAAAAGGAACAGACTTTGCAGAGGGCTTTTAAGTCAAGTAAAAGTAGGAAAAGAAGTATGTCCTACGACATGCGGCAGTGAACACAGTGGCAAAAACTAAGTGGTAACCAGCCCTTTCGTAATACCTATTCCTCAGGCACTCATGTGCTCAAGAGAAATCTGCATGCAGGGTTTTGGGAACTGTTGTGAAGTTTTGTAATTTAACAGGTCATGCCTATTTCCCTAGCCAACTTTGCTATGCCCTGATCTGCTTTCTCATTTTCCCCAAAAGATACATATCCCCATAATTCTTTATGGGGACTGAGGGAGGGGAGATCTCTGTCTTTTGTAGCTCCTTCCAGCTGGAAGGGGCTGTAGATTTAATGGGGGTTGTATGCTCTCGGACTACCTTGGGGTGTTGTGGCTCACTGGCTGGGTTGAAGGAAAAAAAAAACCTGTCAGAAGACAATGAGAAAAGAGTTAGTGACTGTTGAGCTGTCTCTTTCTTTGGAAGAAAGAGTAAATTTACTATTATGTTCTGGATGTGGAACCCAAATATGAGGAGCAAATCAGATTTCCACACTTCTTACCGAGTACAAAGTATGGCAAAGAGAAAGGTTAAATTATTGAGAACCTGAGAGCCATAGCCTTAGAAAGGTTACTCACATAATGGATGTAATTAAAAATACTCTCGGGGCAGGTACCCATTTAAGCTGTGATGAAATAGGGTCATTTGTGACTACTTATCTGTATCCAAATCAGTGTTGGAGTTTTGCTTTCCAAAGAGGAGCCTCAGGTCTTCCAGAGGTTTTTCAGGAATAGCTTCCTCTTTAGTTCTGTGGAAATTCTAGTGACAATTTTCCATGTAGGATTTTTTTTTTTTTTTCCTCCCACAAGTCCAGCTAGATCCATGTAGGATTTTTATAGCTTGTCATTGAATCCCTTCAGGAAGGACCAGAATGGTGCATCGGGAACTAGGAGTACGTGTAGGGTCTTGAGGGGCTGTAGGTTGTCCTTCTTGTCCCCCTATCAGTCTTTGGCCCTTCCAGGGAAACCTTATATATATCTCTTTGGAATTCCTTGCAATGGATAACAGAAACCTGCTTGGGAAGATAGACTACCTCCCAGAGTTACAGAATTCCCTGATTGTGTTTTACAAATGATTGGTTATTAGTTATCAAGATCCTTCTTTGAGATTGCTGCATGGACATGCAGCACTAGAAAAGTGTATCTGGAATCTGTGTAGGTACATAACGTCCTCTCTTTTCCTAATAGCAGTGCCCACATAAGAGCTGTTAGCTCTGCTCTTTGAGCAGAGGTCCCTAAGGGAAGTTAGCCTTAGCGACCTGTTGCAAACTGACAACTACATAACCTGCCTTTTGATGTCCTTGGACAGAGCTACTTCTGTCAGTGAACTACACCCCCTTAGGGTCTTGGAGGGTTAGGTCACTGAAGTCCTCCTGTTTGCATGGGTCTAGAAGATGACTTGTTCACAAGAAAGGCTAACTTTTGTTTCCTGTAGGCACCAAGAAGGCAGGATTGAGAGTAGTGCAAGTTTTATAACAACCCAGGGGTATCTAGGACCATGGCCTAATACTTAGCAAGCCATTGCTACCTTTGATCTCAAGAGTCACTCTGACCTGATGGGGAGTCCGAATTTCTAGTGTCTGTCCTAAAGGTGGTTCTGCAGCTTCCTCTATTATCACAGCTGTAGTTGCTGCCACCCAGCAGGCTGCTTGGCCATCCAGCAGTTACTCTATCTAACTTTTTGAGAAGTATGCCACTGGGCAGAGTTTTTATCCTAGCCTTTGGATCAAGACACCCGAAGCAATTCTTTTCTTTATTTTAGTTTATGTTTTGAGGCATGCTGACTTTGAACTTGCTGGGTAGCCCAGACTGGCTTTGAATTCACAGCAATCCTTCTGCCTCAGCCTCCTGAGTGCAGAGATTATAGGGATGTACCATCATGCCTGGCCTCTCTTTTTCAAGTCAAATATTTTACAATGTTATGCAGCAGTATCCACCTTTTGGCTAATTTGGTCAGGGGGACCTGGTGTACTCCCAACTGGTAAAATCTGTTTTTGCCTTTGTCAGAATTTGAGAATTTTCCCCAGTGTTTTGTTTTTTGGAGACTGGGTTTCACTATGTTGCTCTGGAGCATGGCCATGGGATCTTCCTCATGAGTTGTCCCCAGTTTTGCTAGTAAATCTCTTCCTATAGCAAGAGAGTAGGATTTGGCACAGTTAGAAACACATGGTTAAATCTTTGTCCTTTAAAATGACATATCAGAGCAGAAGTAAAGAATTTCTAACTAAGTTGGCTGGGGATTTAGCTCAGTGGCATAAGCACCTGCCTTGCAAGCATGTGGTCTTGAGTTCAATCCCTGTACCGGTAAAATACAAAAATACAAAAAAAAAAAAAAAAAATTACTACTTTGGGGGCTGGGGATTTAGCTCAGCGGCATAAGCACCTGCCTTGCAAGCAGGCGGTCGTGAGTTCGATCCCCGGTACTGATAAAAATGAAAAAGACAAAAAAAAAGAATTTCTAACTAGGGGTCCCCTAGACCTCATCTATAGCTATAAATGTAGAGAAAGGCTTTCCAGAGAAGAAAGTTAAAACTGAATGTCATTGAATTAGTTCACCCATGATGTCCAGAGTTACCCAGAGCTCCTCACAGGAAATGGTTATCTCATGACAGAGGCATTGTGGGTTCCCTTGGGCCTCTTCTGAGCAAGCAGCAAGAGTGTGGCTGGCCTCGCATCTCTCTGAGAGCAGGGAGACTCAGCCTCTCCAGTGCCACAAGTCAGCCTCATTGGCAGCCTCACACGTGGAGCAGAGCTCAGGCCGTGACTTGGTATAGTCATGTGCCTGGTGTCCAGACTTGCTGTCCTTGATCATCCTCGGGTTTTCTCTTAGACAATTTGGGTGAGTTTAAAGTATTTCCAATTGCAGTAGCTTCTCTTTCCTCCACATCCATGTTATTGAACATAGAAAATGCTATGTCCAGCATTTGGGGTATAGGTGTCTAGGGTCCCATCTAAAGTTTTTTCATTAAATTAATGGGAGAGAATCCTATCCTCTTCTAGGACAGAATCTTTAAAGATAACTCTCTATACCTCAGTGGCCACTCTAAATACGATAGTTTCTGGGCTTTTCCTGAGATAGAGTTAACATCCTGAATATAAGTGATTTCACTCCCTTATATGGTTTTTTTTTTTTTTTTGGTATCGGGGATTGAACTCACAATCTCATGCTTGCCATGCAGGCGATTAGGCCGCTGAGCTAAATCCCCAGCCCTACTCCCTTATATGTTTTAAACAGAAGGAATTTAACTGAAAAATAGTCTCATAGTTTAAATTATCCCATTAAAATAAAAATAAATAAAAAAA